GTCCTCATTAGCCCTATGGATCGTGATGACCCCCATTAGGAAGAGAAGATGAGCTCAGGGTCCAGATAGGTCTCCTGATCCTGCCAGTTGGTGCTGCCACAGGGTGTTCCCACATTGCCACGTCTGGCTACAGCTGCCACCCAGAGCCCCAAGCAGAAAGATGAAGGTTCAGGGCTCTGTACTAACTAGACCACCCAAGCTGGGCACCTCAAGTCACTTCTCAACAAACCCCATCTGCCCCATGGGGCGACCGGACCAACCCTCCTCAAACAAACTCCCCAAAGGCCGTGGCATGGCAGTGACCACCCAGGCAGGTTTCAGTGCTCTGTGCCCAAACCACGCAGCATCCCTGCCACCCTTCCCCTGCGCCTGCCCGGCGCCCATCGTGCCAGCAGCCTCCTGCAAGAGGGCTGCTCTCCTCCGGAGCCAGGCGCCTCGCTAATGAATTTCTGGCCAGACATGAAGAGTCCTCAGGAATGTTAATAGTTTGCTGGAGGATAAGCAAGAGATTTGGAGAGATTTACACCAACTTTCATGTGACAGCCGCGAAAGTGGCTCAAACCCTTCCGTTTCCCTGCGTGGGGGCGGAAGGAGGAGGCTATGTCCGTGGGTGTTTGCAAGGAACTTGGAACACAAAATCAGGCAGCTCCTGTGGGAGCAGCACTGGGGGGACCACATAGGGTTGGTGTCTCCTCTGCCTTCCCTGGCCTTGCTGGAAATTTATTCCAGAGCCAAAGAGAGAGCCCAAAGGGGATGGTGGGATGAGGGGTGCAGAGCTGAGCACCCCACTGGGTGTAGGACCCGGCTGAGATCATGCTTGGTGTCTTACCTTCACGTATTCACTGCCCGACTCCAGGCCATCGTGATGGCTAGAAGGAAGCAGAAAAATAAAAATACTTAAGTAAAGAGCAGTAGGTCATGACAGTCAGGTCAAAGGTGGTGGTGGTGGCACAGCTTGGGTGAGCAGGCACCTGTGCCCCTTGCCTTGCCACGGGGCTGAGAGCATGGCTGTGGTTTTGGGAGAGGTTCCCAGGGCCCCAGCAGTGTTCCTGCCTGCTCTGTGCCCACTCTCAGCCCAGGGCTTATCCTCCCTAATGCGATCAGAGGAGAATGAGGCCTTTTTAGAGGATCTCTCCCCAAATCGGCTTGGGACTGTGTGAGCCGAGACCCAACAGCCAGGCTGGGGTCCCCTCAGGTCACAGTGCTGGGGGGTGAATGCCAAGGTGGGGGACCCTGTTTCCTGGCAGAGCTGCATTCCCAGTAGGTGGCTGTTGGGACACCACCCAGACAAAGCATTTCTGACTTTATCTGTGGCCTCGTGCGACCCCACAGAACTCAAACTCCCACTGAAGCCAGGGCTGAACTGCAACTTCCTGGCTGAGACTGCGAGATTTGCCCTCCCAGCATACAATCAGTAGAAACTCCCATTCTCCTTGGTGGCATGGTCACTCTTAGCCCTACTGACAACCAACCCAACAGTGTTGAGACAGAGCTGATTCAGCAGCTTCTTTGCCATCATTTCCTGAGCATGTAGGAATGCTGCTACTGCTTTTTGTGCTCTTGCCGGTCTCAGTATGTGCCCGTATGAAGGCATCAAAGGGGAACAACAAAGAGTTCAAATGGAGAGTGGCTGTCACAGCCTGAGCTGGGGTGCACTACCTTGAGATCTTGCCTTTCATAAAATACAAAAATCCAGGTGTCTTTAACCAGAACCCAGAGCCTGTCACCTCCCCATTGCCAAACTTCAGAGTGGACATCCCACTGCTTGTTGAGGTCACCTGCCTGAGCATGGGGCAGCAGCAAGGGCCCAGGGATGGCAGGGTGCCACAGCAGGGCAGGCAGTGCAACTAAGAAACAACGAAATCCGAGGGTGTCACAGACCTGGGATGCCCTTTCTCTGCCAGGAGCCGCCTTGCTCCTCCACCTCGTGCCTGTAGCCATGGCCAGACACATACTGGGAGCTGCTGGGAGTGCTGCACACAAAGCTGTCCCGGGACCTGCACCAGTGACATCCCTAGGGAGCCAATTTACTCCTCTGTGGCCTCCCTCCAGGTTGAGGATGGTGCCTGGTGGCTTCCCCAGAGGGAAGCAGGGATACCACAGGCGATCATTGCTGGATATCCCACTGGAAATACCCCATGGCATTACAGTGGGTCCTGACAAGGTCAGCATAAGCCCCTCAGAGTGTCCAGCCCGGCAGCAGACAACTCCCACTTCTGTAACACCTGGAAGTGTTCAGAAAACATGTGGGTGAGGCACTTGAGGACATGCATGGTTCAGTGGTGGACATGGCAGTGCTGGGTTAACGGTTGGACTCAGTGATCTTATTTTCCCACATTAATGATTCCATGATTCTCCAAACACACGCTGCTTAAACCGCATCCCCTGCTGTCCAGCTTGGAAAGGGAGAAGGGGCTGGAAATCAAACCCACAGTTTTTTGGGGGTGAAAAAACAGAGCTGCATTTGGGAGGGGGGATGGACACAGACTCCCTTGGGCAGCTGCGGGCTGCCTGCCCGCCCCGGCGCTGCCTCTCCAGGCTGTTTGCCTTTCACACGCAGCAAAGAGCTGCCTGGTGCTGCGAGAGCCGTGAGAAAAACCGGCAGGAGGACGGGGGGCCTCCGGGCAGGAAATCGGGAGCATGGGAGCAGCTGGGAGACTCTGTGAGGGCCCGGGCAGGAGAGGCCCCCGTGCTGGGGAAGGGCAGCAGCTGGGGCCGCAGCCCCCCTGGTTCTGCACATTCCTGGAGGAAACGGCATTTTTGGGGGCAGACGAGTGCCTGGGAGAAATTCCAGGGCTGCCTTTGGAGTGCGGTGGTGGCTGAGCCGCTGGGACCCGATGCTGCAGTGGTGGTACCGGGGAGTGGGGTTTTGGTGGGGTGGCTGTTCCCTTTGGGCTTGGGAGGGCATCACCATGATTTGCAAATGTGCCAAGCTCCAGGCTGGGAACAGTCCAGGGGGATCCTGTGGGTCCAGCTCTGGTTTGTAGCCCAGGCTCTGCTTGCCTTGGGATGGGGTGAAGGCTGCCCTCCTGGGGAACCAAGTTTGGGAGCCTCGTGCCTCAGTTGCCCCCTGTAGGGCTGCCTCAGTGGAGGTTTTGGCTGGGTGCTGCCAAAGGGTTCTGCTGGCAGCGTCAGGCAGTGCCTGTGCCCTGCAGGAAGTGGCATTTCCCGAGCCTCACGCACGGCTGTGCAGAGGGAAACCGAGTCACGTCCGCTCGATGGTCTGCCAGAGGGTCATCTCCCGTTAGTCACCGTGTCCCTGATGTAGTTACGGCCACCGCCTCGCTCTGGGCAGCTCCACAGGCTGGGTGCCACTCCCTGTCCCACAGCAGCACAATTTTACCCCCTCGAGGGCCTGATCTTGGCAAAGCCCTCCTGCGTATGGGCATCCTTAGCCCATCCTGCCTTGGGGTCTGTCCTTACCAGGGATGCTCTAGGCGGGGGCAAGTGAAAATGTGCCCCAGGGCCATGCTCCCCCCACCTCCTGCATCAGGGAACATGCTGTTGCCATGGCCTGGCGGGAACAGACTGTCCCCATCCCCAGGGATGTGCCTGCGCAGGAGGAAGGGCTGGGGTGTGGCACTATCCTGGTCCCGCTTCCGCCCACCCACCCCACGGCAGAGCCCGTCCAGGGGGATGGCTCCAGCAGATGGCTGTTCCCCGAGCTGGGGGCTGTGGAAGGGGCTCCAAGTAGAGTGTGGAGGGGCAGAAATGCCCCCGATGCCAAGAGCTGCTCTGGGCACTCTCTTGCCTCAGTTTTCCTGGCGAAGAGCAAGGCTACACCCATCATCAGGGCAACACCGGAGGATGCAAAAGAGCATTTGGCTCTCAATATTTGGGGACCCAAGTCCCCACTCCCCAGATTCAAGACACCCAGGTGACCCACGCACGTCCCCCTGCTGTTTGGCTCCCAGCCATGCTGGCTTGGGACCTAAGCAATTTCTGTAAATCCCGTGAACCCTCCTCGAGGTCCCTCCGCCTCTGCCGGGGCTCTGCTCACCAAAGGATGTGGCAGAGCCCCCAGCCCCCACACCGCCGAGCCTCTGACCCCCCCGAACCAGCACAGCCCCCAGTGCCGGGTCCGCTGAGGTTTCGGCAGCTCTTTGCATGAGCAAACACCGCCACGGGCCGGGGGCCTCGGTGGCCAAGCAGCGACTCCGGCAATATCTGCGGTGAAGCTTTGTGCCCGCCCCAAGCAAAGTCCCGTCCCAACCTCTCCCTCCCCATCCCCTCCGCTGTGCCGGGGTGCGAGGGGTGGCCAGAGGACCGGGACCCCTTACCTGCCCTGTCCCAGGGTGGGAAACCTCCTGCCCACCGCTGTCATCGGCCCTGAGCGATCCAGCGAGTGCCTCTGCTCCGGGATGGGGAGAAGCCTTCCCGGGCGCTCTCCCGCCTTGCACTGAGCGTCGGGACTTTGGGGCGAGCAAGGCGGTGGCGGACCCTCCTCCTTCCCGTCCCAGCCCTCCTCCGGCCCTCCCTTCGCGGCCGGCAGGAATGTGTGGCCGGCACAGCCTGGCTTCCACTGCCGGCACGAATTTCTCCTCCTCACTCCGCTCTTGGGACCACCCAGACCTCCCAAACACTCGGTGCCAGAGAAGGCAGCCCCCAGCCCCAGGGCGGTGCAGGGGGAACAGGGGCATCAGGGGCCACCTGAGTGCAGGGAGAGGAGAGTCAGGCCAGGGGAGGAGTGCTACAGTGGGACCTTGCTTTGGGGACAAATTTGGAGTGCCCCCAGTCCCAGACACGCTACTGGACAAGGGGATAAAAATCCCTTTGGCTGATTCTGAGACCAAAACCCTTCAAAAAATCCAATCCTCATCTGAGAGGGCTGAGCCCACAAATTCCCCAGAGGGTGGGATTGTGCCCAAAGTGGGCATTTACTGGGGGGGAGATGGAAATGGAGATGGAACATCTGGTTTCAGGAATTGCCCCTGTGCCCTGGGAGAGGCACTGCTGCTCGGAAGAGGGAGGAAGGATAGAGGGGATGGAAAAGAGAAGAGTCAGAGGTGGTGAAGGCTGGGACACTGCTTGGTCTGATCTCTCCGCAGCACATCCCGGCGCTGGAACGCAGCCGCCGCAGGACAAAGGGATGCCGGGGCCGAGCGGGGCCGCGAGATGTTTCCACCCCGTCCGGAAACAGGAGGGAGCAGAAATCCCACAGGAAACCTCACTCCCATGGAGCCGCTGACCTGGCCGTGGTACGAGTGCTCCGGCCGTGCCGTCCCGCCGGCCAGGTGCATCCCGCTGGCACTGCGGGCAGGGAGGGGCGTCACAGCGACCCTGCTGTGTCCCTGTGTCCCAGCCCCCTCCCCTTGCCCCGCGGGGGCAGAAAGGGGGTCCCAGCAGAAGGCAGAGTAAACCCAATGGGGATGTACCTGTCTGGGGAGCTCTCATGAGGACGGTTTTGTCTGTTTTCCAGCAGATCCCTGTCAGCAGTCTCCGCTCCTGTTGTCATGCCAGGGCTTGGGTTGGGGTTCGGTGCCTCTGTCCGAGGTTTGGACAGAGGAGTTTGGCTGGGGTTCAGTGTCTCTGTCCCAGGGCAGGAGACATTCCCCATCCTGGCTATTGCTGCCCCCGGGGTGTCCACGGGCTGAGCCTTTTCCTCCTCCTGATCTGCTTGTCCAGCAGCTGGAGGTGAGTCTGTGCCTGGGCATGGGGGGCTGGACATCTTGGCGGACTTGAGGCTGGGGAGCTGGGCTGTCTGGGGGTTTTGTTGCTGGGAATCCCTTTCTCCCGGCAGTTCTGGCTACTCTTGCCCTTGCTCAGGCTCTTCCCTGCCTTGTCGAGGTTCAGCCTGGGCATGGTGCCCATGTGGCTGTACATGTCCGACGACCGGGCGTAGGGGCCGGGGCTCTTGGGCATGGTGCTGAGGTCATCCTGGATGCTGTCGAAGGGTTCCTCCAGGAATCCACGGGGAGGAGGGAGATGTGGCCCCAGTGTCTCGGGACAGCTGGGGACCACAGACGTGCGCCGGAAGGTGAAGGAACGGGGGATGCTGCTCAGGCTCCCGAACCCTTTGAACTTGAAAAACTCTGGCAAGGAGAGGGGAGAGGTGAGTGTGGGGTTACTGCTGGCACGGTGTGATGGTGAAGGGTCCTGGAATCCCTGGTCCTGGGTTTGGGTGGGCATTGGGCACTGTACAGGCTGGGGTCACACTGTTATACCCAAAACTGCAGTCCCAGCCCAGCATGGCATCCCTGTGACCTGGGGGTGTATGTGATGCTGCTCAGGGCATCTCTGCTGGGCTCTGGCAAATCTAGCAGGTTTTCCCACCGCAGCTGTAGGGGCAGAGGAGGAAACACCCAGCCCTGGTAAACAGGCAGCTCCAGAAATTATTTCAAATCTTTTCCTCCCGCCCTCTGCCTCCCAGGGCATGCTGGGCAGGGCTGTGCCCATCCCTGCAGCCTCAGGGCAGCTCTGCAGGATGCAAGCATGGGACACACCACATGTCCCCAGGGGATAGGGGTCCTGGACACGTGTGACCTGCTCGCATGTGCACAGTGGAGCAGGAACCGGCCACAGGCGCTGCCGGCTGCGGGCGGGAGAAAAACCTCCCCACTTCCTTGCCCGGCCTCTTGCAGCCTCCCTGCACCTCCAGCTGCCACCTGCAAGTGCTGAGCACGAACAAAAATATTTATAACTCTTGCGGGTGGCTTTGCATTTCACACCTCAGGCCCAGCTCGGCTCTTGGTGCAGCTGTGGTGCAGCCTCGGCTGGTGCTGGTGCCAGCACAGGGATGGAAGCACAGGGTGGGGTGAAGCAGGCTGTGGCCACAGTGCCATAGAGCAGCGTTTCCCTGTCAGACCCCGGGTGCCTCTGGGGGTTTTGCAATGTTGGTGCCACCCTGGGGCTCTGCAAAGCCTCTTCCCCTCTGGTCACAGCAGATTTGCCGAGGCAGGAAGCAGCTGCAGAGGTGCTGAGCAAGGACCTGGGTGTCAAGGAGCTGCTCAGGCCTTGGGACTCCCACCTCCTGACGCCATCCAGGGACCCATCAGGGCATCCCTGCAGCCGTGGCAGAAACCTCATGGCCAGAATGCAGTTAGAGGCAAAATTGCTTTGGGTTAAACATCCCCTCGGAGTCCAAGCATCCTCTGCTGCCTGCTGCTCCTGGGGCTGCTGTGGGGTGGTGGGAAAGACAGTGCTGGGGACTTTCCCCATCTCCCCTCTCTCCACACATGGGAAAATCCCAGCTGGGATGGGGCTGTGGGTTTTGCCAGTGGAGGGGTCCCAGGGGAGCAGAGAGACTGGCCCCCCTCTGGCGCCGGCATCGCAGCAGGAATGCAGAGAGCGCAGCAGAGGCCGGTTCCCGTGCAGCCCAGCGCTGGGAATAGGGTGAAGGCCACTGCCCCAGGGCTCTGGGGGAAAGCCGAGGTCTGTGAGAAAGAGCAGAGCTCCCTCCCGGTGGGTACCGAGCACTTCCTCCCAGAGCAGCTGTCGGGAATCCCTTCCCAGGCTCCCATCCCAGCTCCTCTGTGTCACCCCCATCCCTGTGCTGCAGGAGCACCCTGGGCTGAGGGTCCTGGCCACACCCAGCCCCCAGCACCGGCTTGTACCCCAACCATGCACCCTGAAGGGTGTGATCTGGGGAGCGAAGAGCCCCAAACCCTGCTGTGCATCCCTCTGGGTTCATCCCAGCCCAGTGCAGGGCTGGGCTGCAGCAGACTGGTCCCAGTTCCAGCACCCAGCTCCCGAGCCAGCACACAGGCTCTCCCCAGCCCTGGGGATGGAAACCCCCAAAGCCCCTCACCCCAATAAGTCTCCTAGCAAATGCAGAGCCTATCTCAGCTCCAAACATCCCCGGGTGGGATGACCCAGGGAGCGTGTGAGCACACACTCTGTCTCAGACCCAAACTCAGATTCACACTCACAGATTCACACTCACACTCGTGCATCCCTCCTCCCTGCCAGGCTGTCCAGGTGAGCTCCCCATCGCCCACCCCGTCCCACACCACTTACTGAACTTCTTGGAGGCCCCTCGTTTCTGGCGCTCGGCCATGGCTGAGCTGCTTGGAGGCCGCGGGGACCGAGAGGGACAAGTTTGTAACTGTGAAGCCCTTCCCTGCCCGCTCCTCCCTTCCTGCCCCCCCCTGCAGTCACTCATCGCTCGCTCGGCGTTTCCTCCCAGTGCTGTCATCTGCTCCCAGCCCCGCCGCTGTCCCTGCCTGCCCTCACGCTGTCCCCAAAGTCCCTGTGGCCGCTTGCACCTGCCAGGCTGCTCAGAGGCCACGTCTGTGCCCTGGGCTGGGGGTGCCTGGCAGGTGTGAACACCCAAAACCCCTGGATGGCGGCCTCAGAGGACGTGCCAGCCTTAGGAAAAGTTGACAGTCCTACGGATGAGGACACCAGCTCTATGGATGAGCGTGCCAGCCTTATGGATGGGGGTGACAGCCCTATGGGGGAGGATGCCAGCCCTATGGATGAGGCTCCAGCCCTATGGATGAGGATGCCAGCCCTGTGGAGGAGGATGCCAATCCTATGGATGAGACTCCAGCCCTACGGAGGAGGGTGCCATCCCTGTGGATGAGATGCCAGCCCTGCACACAGCAGTCCACCGTGCACATCTGGGGCTCAGCCCCTGCAGGGTGAGACCCCCATGGCATCACTGCCAGTGGGCCCTGCCAGGAGCTGTGCTTTCACGCCAGGGGGACCTTGGTGTGCCTCATGGGAGTGTCTCCATGCAGGACAAGGTGGCCTGACCTCGGCAGGGATCCAGTGTCCGTATTGACCCCCATTCCCTCGGAGCTGGTTGTTTCCATGGCCGGGACATCACCAGCCATCCCTGCTAGTGCTCTGTCCCTGTCTCCCTGCACTCTCCACTTTGGGGACCAGTTTCAAACAGCCCCAGACAGAACCTCCAGTTCGTCCTGCACCTGAACATGGCATGGCCTGAGCGATTGTCCCCATCTGGGGACAGGGGCAGGAACTCGGGGTCCCCTGACACCAGCCCCCTAGTGTCCTCCTGCCTTGGCCACGGCATCCCCATGCCACAGCACCGGGGCGCAGGAGTAGAAGTTCTGCTTAACCTCCGGCGCGCTTAAGCACAGGCAGGGGCCACAACAACAACACTCCTTCGGGCAGCGCGGAGGGGCGCTGGTGACACCGGGGGGACAACATGGCGGGCGCCCCTCCGGACTACAACTCCCTAGGTGCCCCGCGCGGAGTCGGGGCGGGTCACGTGGTCACCGCGCCAGGTCACGTGGCGGAACGGGCGGGCGCGGTGCTGTGGCAACGGCGCGGCCGCCATGGCCAAGCAGTACGACATGGTCGAGTGCCCCTTCTGCGACGAGGTCTCCAAGTACGAGAAGCTCGCCAAGATCGGGCAGGGCACCTTCGGGTGAGTGCCCCGCCGGCCACGGTGCTCCCCGGCTCTCCCCCAACCCCCCGCCGGCCTCAGGCCCGCAGCTGGGGCCCTGCCCCGCGGCCCGCCCGCGCCAGGCCCGGGCTCTCCCTGCTCGGGTCTCCCGTTCCTCGGTCACTCCTCTGCCTCCAGGGAACTACTCTGGCTCATGAGACCTCCTTTTCCCACCTTGAGGCCCCACTCACGCAGAGCAGAGCTTATCTTGGAGACGGCTGGGGTGGGGACCTGTAACTTGGCTCAAAATGTGTAACTTGGCTCAAAATGTACAACTTGGCTCGAAATTACAGCTTTTTGCCCCAAATATGCAACTTTTTACCCAAAACGTACAGCTTGGCTCAAAATTACAACCTTTTGCCCTAAACATGCAGCTTTTTTTGCCCCAGGTGTGCATCTTTTTTGCCCCGAACGTGGAACTTGATCCAAAACGTGGAGCTTGGCTCAAAGTGTGCTACTTTACCCAAAGTCCTTGTGATGCTCCAGGAGCTCTGGGCTGTCTCTTGGCTCAGCCATTCCTGGGGGCCGTGGGTCCGAGGGGGATGTGGCTGGGTTGGGTGGTGGCTCAGCACAGAGCTCTCTGCCTGGTAATTCAATGTGTCCTGTTTGGTTTTGTTCCTGGTCAGGAGCACCTGGCTCCTTCTGGTTTTCGTCTTGTGCTGCTCATGAAATTCTTTCTGTTTTTACAGGGAAGTCTTCAAAGCCAAACATCGCCAGACAGGCAAGAAAGTAGCATTGAAGAAGGTGTTGATGGAAAATGAGAAGGAGGGGGTAAGTGTGGGAGCAGGGCTGGGCTGTGTTAGGGAAGGCCTGGACTGGGGGGTGGATCTCTAATCCCTGTCCTCTCTTTTCTCTCTCCCAGTTTCCCATCACGGCCTTGCGAGAGATTAAAATCCTGCAGCTGCTCAAGCACGAGAACGTGGTGAACCTCATAGAAATCTGCAGGACCAAAGGTGCTTTGCAGGGTCTCTCTTGTGTTGCTGGTGACTTTTGCTGGGACTGGGGTTGTCTAACTGAGCTTATGATAGGGAGTTATGGCTCACTTATCTTGGAAAAGAGTTTCTCCACCTCCTTGCTCCCACCTGATGCCTTGTCCCCCCACTACTGGGTGCTTGGCAGGCTCAGCACACCTGGCCTGACTCTGTTTTCAGTGGATTTGCTTTAAAACATTCACTAGAGTTTATATATCATTCCCTTATATGGATTTGTACTGGCCTAGGGCTGGGAAATTGAAGTTACTCCAGTACTCCACTGTGTGGATTGTTGTCTGAAGAGGTTTGAGTGAAAGCACCAACGACAAGTTAATTTTTAATTCACTGTGTGATTAAATGAGCTGTGACGATTGGGTGTCTGGCACACCAAAGGTAAATATTTTTGTAGACATGTCAGTTGTTTGTGTTTTGGTTTTGTTTTGTTTGAATTCCAGTTTTCACCCAAATCTACCTTGACCTCAGTTTACAGTAAAGTAGAAAGGTTTCATTTACTGTTCTCAGATTTCAGGCTTTTCCCTTTTTACCTTGGAAAGGTGCATGTGGGGCTGTGTCCATGTCAGGAACTGCAAACCCGGTGTAGCAGGTGATCTCCTGGCTGGAGAGGAGAGCACTGTGCTTCTGTGGGGGCTGAGCTTTTCTGGTTTTGCTGATTACAGCTGATGAAAATCAGCCTTTCTTTTCAATAACGTTCTGTGTGTGTGCGCTCTAGGAACGAGATTGAAATCGATTGCTTCATTTGAGGTTTCCTATAACTGACTTCAGATTGCAGTTGGAGTTTTAAATTGGTTTGATCCAGAGTGGTCTGTTCTTGTGGATGCTGTCTGAGGTTGCAGAAAGCCTCACTTTCTAATGGGAGATTGGGCAGGTTTTCCCTGGTAGTGCACATTTCCCAGGGCTGCCTGTGGGTGCCTCCTCTATCACCGATGCCATCGGCGATGGCGCTTGGCTGTCAGCCACAGCTTGCAGGGAGGAAACCCCACAGCCGTTATTGTGCACAGAGCAGCATGAAATGAAGCTTTCAAATGTTTTCATGCCCTTGCCTTGCCCGTGCCAATCCTCATCTCCTGTTCTTGTGTTGCTGTTTTTGCTTAGTGCCTCTTTACAAAGGACCTGCAGGCTCTCCGGTTCTCTGCGTTCCCATGCCCTGAGGTTCTGTCTAGCGAGTGTTGTATGAGCAGCAGGGTGGTGGGATGAGCTGTGACAGGGTCCCAGGAGTTGGGACTCCTTGTGAGTCTCTTCCAGCTCTGGATATTCTGTGATTTATTCCATGCCCCTCACTGACAGTGCCTCTGTGTCTCTCCCACAGCCTCTCCATACAACCGCTGCAAGGGCAGCATTTACCTTGTGTTTGACTTCTGTGAGCATGACCTGGCCGGCCTCCTCAGCAACGCCCATGTCAAGTTCACGCTCTCAGAGATCAAGAAAGTTATGCAGATGCTGCTGAATGGACTTTACTACATCCACAGGAACAAGGTAATGGGCCAGATCCCCGCTGTGCTCAGGGGTCACCCCACTCTCTGTGGCTTTCCAAGGAGCAGATGTCCGAGCGCAGGCTGGAGGGAAATCCTTGTATTTCACCTCTTCAGTCTCAGCATCCTGCTGGCACCAGGCACCCAAGGAGGGCACTCTGATGCCTTAACCCTTTCAATGTCTGTCCTTGTACAGATCTTGCACCGAGACATGAAAGCCGCGAACGTGCTGATCACGCGAGGACGGAGTCCTGAAGCTGGCGGACTTCGGGCTGGCTCGAGCCTTCAGCCTGGCCAAGAACAGCCAGCCCAACCGCTACACCAACCGGGTGGTGACCCTGTGGTACCGGCCTCCAGAGCTGCTCCTAGGTAGGAGGTGGTGGGCTCTGCTGGCTTCTCATCCCTCCTCGTCCCTCTGGGAGACTAACTCGGCATCTCCGTTTAGGAGAGCGGGACTACGGTCCCCCCATTGACCTCTGGGGTGCAGGCTGCATCATGGCAGAGATGTGGACCCGCAGCCCCATCATGCAGGGCAACACGGAGCAGCACCAGCTCACCCTCATCAGCCAGCTCTGCGGATCCATCACACCGGAGGTGAGGGCGGGAGCGGGGATGTGGTTGGAGAGCAGGGTGTGGGGACGGGCACTCCTGGGCTCTTCCCTGCCCTGTGTGCTGGCTGCTGTGTGCTCCCAGCAGCACTGGAAGGTGCCTGCAGCTGGCAGGGAGGCTGGGGAGTCTTCTAGGCTTCTGTGTTTGGGGGTTGTCTCTTGGACAAACACACTCAATTTCTGCCTAAAGAAGGGTGGTTTTTTTTTTTTTCCTGTTGAGAGGTTCGTCTCAAGGTATTTTGCATTGGTCACCTTGAAAAGCCTCTTGGAAAATTCTGGCTTGTGATTTGTGGTGTCATCTCAGCCTTGGTGTGAGCACTGGGCCTGGCCCTTTCTCAGCTCCTCCTTTATCAGCAGCTCGTCCTGCCCTCTTGTGGGGAGCGAGCTGAGGGATCCCAGCCCGGGCTGGAATCTGCGGGATGTTGTGCTGGCAGCTGCAGAGTCCTGACCCTGCAGCCACATTCATTATGTACATACATTGAAGGCGAGTTCTTTACCACCTGCTGTGGTTTCTACCAGATCAGAGTTGAGATAAATGTTAGTGATTGCTTTCTAGGGATAAAAGGTGCCACATCCAGGTGATTATGTAGCAATCAGTTTTGTCACCTTATCTTTCTGTCTGTGGTAGCCATGCTCTCTAGTGGTTGTTTTGTGGGAGAACTAGAAATCCTGGAGCATCCTGCATGCTGCTTCCACACCAGAAGGACCCTGTCATGACTTGTCCATGTCTCCAGGCGTTAGTGCACCCTTTTAATGCCTCCTTGTTGCTGTGGGAACAAGGTCTACCGGCTTGGAAGTTACAAAATAGAGTTGTTATTTCAGACCTTACCCTGGTTCGCCTGAAGGCGTTTGAATCAAAAGTGGCTTGTGCTTTTGGTAATTATTGCTTGTCAACCCCCTTTGCTGCCCCTTCCCAGGTGTGGCCCAACGTGGATAAGTACGAGCTGTACGAGAAGCTGGACCTGCCCAAGGGGCAGAAGCGGAAGGTGAAGGACCGGCTCAAGGCCTACGTCAAGGACCCCTATGCCCTCGACCTCATCGACAAGCTGCTGGTGCTGGACCCCGCCCAGCGCATCGACAGCGACGACGCGCTGAACCACGACTTCTTCTGGTCGGACCCCATGCCCTCGGACCTCAAAAACATGCTGTCCACCCACAACCAGTCCATGTTCGAGTACCTGGCCCCGCCGCGCAGGAGGGGCGGGCACATGCCCCAGCAGCCGGCGAACCAGGGCAGGAACCCGACGGCCACCAACCAGACTGAGTTCGACAGGGTGTTTTGACACCCAGCCAGGCCCTGGCTGGGCTTCTCTGGGATGTCCCAGCAAGGTCTTTTTGTCTGGGAAAGGACTTTTTTCAAGGTGAAGTGACTGATGGCGTTGACAGGGCCCAGCCGTCTCCTCTTGGCCACCAAGGAGCTGCGTGGCTGGGGAGGTGGCACCTGTGAGCTCGACAGTGTTTTCCTGCAGTTGTGTCTCAGAACCTGTGTTCCCTGCCCCCTGCAACTGTCTGTACTGGCTACATTAAACTTGCAGATCAATTATCATGGATCTGGTGATGGAAAAAGTGTCTCTGTCCATGCTGGGGCTCTTCACAAACAGTGCTGGGACCAGCAGGACTGGCACTAGTTGACCTGGACTAAGCTGGGCCCTGCTTGGAGATGTCTCAGCTCTCTTGATTGGTTGTAGTTCCTGCAGTATCCTTTGAGCACTGAAGTGTGGATGTAGGGATGAGGTAGGTGCTGCTGAGTCATCAGAGTTGTCCTGGGGAAGGCAGAGTCACTCTGCATGACTTGCTCTCACTGCAGGCTGGGATCTAGCCTAGAAAGAGGCTCACTTGGAAAACCAGGGGGGTGGCTGGCAGAGCTGGTTGCTCCATGTAGCCTGGATTTACAGTGGAAATCACTGATCCCTGTAACAGCGTATGGCATCCACGCTTTCTTCATTGCAAAAGATAAGTGGGATCCCTGGGGGACACACCCACTGTGAATCCCTGCACCCCAGCTGGGCAGGAGCTAGGTTGGGGAAGGGAGCTGTGACTGCTGGCCTGGCCTGAGGTGAGACTTGCCATCCCACTGGAGTTGCCTGTGCACCTGCTGTTCACACCTTATGCCAGAGCTTGGTTGGTTCCAACTCATCCAGAGCCAGTGCTCCTCCAGTGCTCCCCTGCAGTGTCTCCCATGGCTGTGAGCTACAGAGATCCCTGGACTCAATGTGTGTGATGTGCCATGAGTGATATTTGGCACTTGCTAACTTGTCTGTTAATGACCACTGGCAAAAGCCAGGTCTCAGGATAAAAAGTGTGGATGATAAAAGACTTGTACAAGGTAACTCTGTCTTGGTTTGGGGCTCTGAAACAGTGTCTGCTTGGGGGGAATGTGTTTCTTTGGAAATACAAGTTGGTTACAAGCAGTAAGTTCATTTGTGTCGTTGTGGATACTCTGTCCTGTCGCAAACAGCTGGTGTGAAGCTCGTGTTGATCTGCTGCCCAACTGGAGACAGCAGCGGGAGTGCTGCACGACAGCCCCTGTTAATGCCGCGGGCACGTGTGGGGTCGGACATCCTGAGCCCCCCGCCCTGCCTCTGCGGTGCTGGGAGGGGGTCAGCGCTGCAGTGGATTAACTGGCACGGGCACAGGAGGCTGCCAGGGGCAGCCCGGGGCTCCGCCGTCCCCGGGCGAGGGCTGCGGGGGTCCAGGGGTCCCTGTGCCCCGGGCTGGTCCTTGCGGGCTGCAGGGCCACGTCCCTGTCCCGGCGGGCTGAGCGGCCTCGCGTGGCGTTGCGTCTCGTGCTGCATCCCCGTCCTCCCCTGTCCCGGGGGCTCAGCCGGGATCCCCTCCCGAGGTGGCGGCGGAGGGGCCGCCGCCCCCCTGCCCTCCGCAAAGATGGCTCCCCCCGCCCCTTCCCCTGCCTTGACGTGGCTCGCGCTGCCCGGCTCAAAGATGGCGGGGGGGGCGGTGCGGGGCGGCCCCGCCTCCCTCTCTCCCCCGCATCCCTCCCCGCTGGCGGCGGCGCGAGCGCGGGATGGTGGCGCGGGGTTGGCGCGCGCTGCGCGTGGCGCTGCGGGCCGGGGGGCGCCGCTTCGGCACGCGCCCCGCGCGCGCCCCCGCCATCGACTACCAGGTACCGCCGCCGGGAGCGCGCGCGGGGGGGCGGGGGGCGGGTCACGAGGCCCCGCACAGCGATGCGACTCCGGTACCGCGCGCGGGGCGGCCGAGACCCGCCCGCCCCTCCGCCGCCCGCACCCTTTTCCGTGTCCCGCAGCCCCGGGCCGCCTGTCCCCGCTTTCCGCTGGGGGCACTCCGCAAATCGCCGCGCCCCGTGGCAGCTGCGGGTGGCCTCGGCCTGCAGCGGGAGCCTCTACGACAAGTCGTGGTGTGTCCCGGTGCCACGCGGCCGCTCCAGGCGTCGTGGGCACGATGGCGGTCCCCCGGCGTGCCCCCCCGGGCAGGCGGGAGCGGTCCTGCCCCCGCTCCCCGGAGCTGGAAGCGCCACCGGTGCCAGTTTGCCGCTGTCAGATGGACCAAGGTCCAGCTGCCTGGGTCGGGTGTCCCCACGCTGGGGACACGGGCTGGGCCATGCCAGGGCCCCGGTGCAGCGCCAGCCCCACATCCCGAACCGGCGTGGGTTTGGCGGGCTCTTGTCCCACGTGCGCCGTGCACATGCAGCGCTGCTGCTTCGTTGGCTCTGTTGCTTCATTAGCGCCGCTCTTTGAACACCGGGCGTGTACTGGAGCGCTGCCCGCTCCCGCCGGCGACCTTGTCCCACTGAGCAGCAGTGGGTGCCGGGCGCTGGCCTGCCCTGCGCGGGGTCAAGGGGCGCCTAGAGAGGGGCGGGCAACCCCTGCCCATAAGTAGCCCGTCCCCGTGACGGCTCTGGCGCTGCCGGCACGGCCCCGCGGTGCCATGGCGGAGATGCTGCCGGCATGGGTGGCCACAGGCACCGCCGAGGGGACCGAGCCCGATGGGGTGGGTAAGGGTGTGTTGGGCTTGAGGCAGGATGGGTGGTGGTGGGCACCATTCTGACCACCGTGGGGGTCTTTCCAGGATGCAGTCCGGATGCTCAACACCCTGCAGACCAACGCCAGCTACTTGGAGCAGGTGAAGCGGGAGCGTGGTGACCCCCAGGTCCAGTTGGAAGCCATGCGGGGATTTTTGGAGAGGAGCGGGCTGAAGGTGAAGGGGGATCCCTGTCCCTGTCCCTCTGTCCTGTCAGCAGTGCCGCTGTGCTCGGCACTGGCGGCTGAGGGGGTCTCACAGGGTGGTTGAACTCTTACAGGTCGAGGACCTGGATCGACTGAACATCATCCACGTCACAGGGACGAAGGGCAAGGTGAGGCGGGTGGGCGGCACTGCAGAGGACTGGGGGGATGAGGGGGAGCCGCTGGCTCTGTGGCTCTGCTCACCCCTGCCCTGACACGGGGGGCTTTAACACCGCCATCTCCTCAGGGCTCAGCATGCGCCTTCACTGAGCACATCCTGCGCAACTACGGGCTGAAGACAGGCTTTTACAGGTGAGCAGGGGGGTCAGGAGGGTTTTGGGGGGCTGGTGGTGCCGTGCCTGACCGTTCCCCCTGCTCTGCCCCGCCCCAGCTCCCCTCACCTGGTGCAGGTGCGCGAGCGGATCCGCATCAATGGGCAGCCCATCAGCAAGGACCTCTTCAACAAGTACTTCTGGCTGGTCTACAACCGCCTGGAGGAGACCAAGGTGGGGGCAGCAGGGCTTGTGGGGGTGATCCCTCCCTCAGGTCCCCCCTCCCGGGGCCCCATGTCCCCACTGTGGTTGGGGGTGCCCCGTGCTGTCCCCTCACACCCGCTCTGCCTGGCAGGACCCGGTGCACGCCAGCATGCCGGCGTATTTCCGCTTCCTCACCATCATGGCCTTCCATGTCTTCCTGCAGGAGAAGGTAAGTGGTGGCCTCCAGCTTGTGATAGACTGGGGACATCAGGGAGCGGGGACATAGGATTCAGCCCCCACTTGGGGCAGAACTTGCATGGGTTAGGCTGCTGTGGCTGTAACCAGGGGATGCTGTGCCAGGTGGATGGTTCCCCAGCAAATGGGAGGTGTGTTCAGGTGTGGGTTTGGAAGGGGCGGTGACAGGGACCTGACCCCACCCACATCCCCGAATCTGTGTGAGACACATATTGCTGGTGGCCCTGTGATGGCTCCACTGTCCCTGTGTCCCCAGGTGGATCTGGCAGTGGTGGAGGTTGGCATTGGTGGCGCCTATGACTGCACTAACATCATCAGGTAGGAGATGGTGTGGCTGAGCCTTTCTCCCAGGGCTACCAGGCCCTGGTGTCCCTACTGCGGTGGGGACAGTGGGGACACTGCCATGCTGCATCCCCAGGGCACCAGTGGTGTGTGGGGTCTCCGCCCTGGGCATCGACCACACCAGCATCCTGGGAGACACCATGGAGAAGATTGCCTGGCAGAAGGGCGGCATTTTTAAGGTAGGCAGACCAGGTCATCTCATGGTTTTGGGGTGTGCTCCCCTGTGACTCTGAGCTCCCGTATGTCCCTGAGCATCCCCATCCTTCACAGCCTGGCGTGCCGGCGTTCACCGTGGCACAGCCGGAGCGGCCACTGGAGGTGCTGAGGGAGCGAGCCCAGGAGAGGAAGGTGAGCTGGTGGCAGGGGTGTGGATTTGGGGGTACCCTGCGGCGGGGGGCTTAGCCTCCTCTCCTCGCAGTGTCCCCTCTACCTGTGCCCGGAGCTGGATGAATTTGAGGAGGGCTGCCAGGCGCTGGAGCTGGGGCTGGCAGGTTCCCACCAACGCTCCAACGCCGCCCTGGCCCTGCAGCTGGCGCGGACGTGGCTGCAGCGCCGCGGCTACCAGGGTAAGGCAGAGGGATGGGGAGGGGGGGGCAGACCCTGCCGTGGCCCCCAGGATCTCAGTGAGGTGCCTGTCCCCCCAGGTCTTGGGGAGCTGAAGGAAGTGCCGCCGAGCACTGAGCTGGTGGGGAGGCCGGTGCCGCTGGCGCCTGCCTTCCGCCCCACCGACGCCATGATCCAAGGTGCAGTATGGCCGTGCCAGGAATTCCCCTGGCTGTGTCACAGGGGACACGGCAGGGTGACATCCAGTGCCACCTGTCCTGGATACCAAAGTCTTCCCCACACTGGATCCCCACGGGGTACTAGTGCTGGGGAGGATGTGGGGGTCCCAACCATGCCCTGTGTCCCCCCAGGCCTGCGGGACACAGAGTGGCTGGGCCGGACCCAGGTGCTGTCCCACGGCCCTGTGACGTGGTACCTGGACGGAGCTCACACCACCAGCAGCATCCAGGCCTGTGTCCGCTGGTTCCGCCAGGCTGCCCTCAACCAGGAAAAACTCCACGAGTAAGGAGGGGACACGAGGGGGCACATATGCCAGGGGGGCATGGTGGTGGTGCTGGGGGTCCTCGTGGGGCGTGGGCCACCTGCCCTTTCTCCCCGCAGCGGCTCCGAGGTGCGTGTGCTGCTCTTCAACGCCACGGGGGACCGGGACACGGCGGCGCTGCTCAAGCTGCTGCTGGTGAGGTTTGGGGGAGCACAGGGTGGTGGTCTCTGTGCCCGAGTGCCTGGGCTCTCTGCTTGCCCTGGGGCCTGCTTTGCTGTGGGAGCAGGGAGCCGCGAGGTGGAGCTGGCCCCCTGTCTGTCTGTCCATCTGTCCACCCTGCTGTCCCTGGGTGTATCCCACCTCAGCTCCCCTTGCAGGGCTCTTACAGTCCTGGGTGTGGGGACAGGACTTGGATCACCCCACCCTGGGCCCTGTAACCATGTTGGTGTAGGACTGGTCCCAGGGGAAGTCCCATGGGTGGGTCCTGAGGGTTCCTGCAGCAGTGACCCCCCCATCTTCCCCCAGCCCTGTCACTTTGACTACGCTGTCTTCTGCCCCAACTTCACGGAGGTGTCAGCGGCCAACAACGCGGGTGAGTGCTGGGGAGCCGGGGTCTGTCCCGGCCCCCCCCATCCTGATCCCCTCCCCGGCCCCCCCCAAATCCCTGACCCCCATCCCCATCCCTCCCAGACCAGCAAAACTTCAACGTGACGCTGGAGAACGCCCTGACTCGCTGCCTGGAGAACCAGCAGACGTGGACCCGACTGCTGGAGGAGAAAGGGGGGCAGGACCCCTGGCTCCCAGCTCCCCTGCGGGTGGGGGGGCTGCTGCAACCAACCCCTGCCCGGGGCTCCCTGCTCCTCGTGCCCCCAGCCCCACGACCCCTCAACTCCTCAGCCCTCGTGTTCCCGTGCCTGGCCCAGGCACTGCAGTGGGTGGCACAGGGCCGGGACCCCCATCTGGCAGCCCCTGCTGCCTCGGGGGCTCACGCCCACCCTGCTGCCAGCAGCGGGGCCGTGCTGCTGCGGGAGGCGGCCGCCGTCCGCGTCCTGGTCACTGGCAGCCTGCACTTGGTAGGGGGGGCCCTGCGACTGCTCGACCCTGCGCTCTCCCAGTAACTGGGGGACGGGGCTTTGCACTTGGTTTTACTTGAAGCAGCAGTTCTGCCCCCAGTGATGCTTGGAGGCATCCGGGGGGGGCACGTGGGACCCCCTCGCCCCATCCCGGCTTCGCTGTTTTCACCCCAGTGCCTTTCGCCTGTGCCCTCCTGGGGACACTGCCCGTGTGGGGGCTGCTCCTGGCCCACATTCCACTCTTGGTGAGACTGACTGGGGGTCCCCTGGGTCTGGGGGGGCTGCCCCAGGCTGTGCTGGGGTCCCAGTGCCCAGGGGACGGTTAGGGAGGGTGGTAGGTGGGAGCCTCAAGCTGTGGCGAGGCTCAGTATCAGGGCAAGACTAATTTAACATAGGGGAGATTTTTATTATTATTAATAACAGTTTGTAACTTGTATGGGGAGCTGGGGGGTTGTGGTGGGTTCTGCCCATCGCCCTGTGGGAGGGCAGCAGCCTCGCACCCCCCCACTCTGAATAAACCTCTTGCTGCTCCCAGTGGTGCCTGTTGCCTTCTTGGGGGGATGCAGGAGGGGCATGGGGGTCACCCCAAGTGCTGGGGCATGTCCTGGGAGCGCCCACTTCTTCCCCCCCCATTTGATGGGGAGCCTTGGGGGAGGCTTTGGCAGTAGCTGCTCTTTCTGCCTCCCCCCTGCAGCAGGGGACCCCGGGGGGGTTGCAGGGTGCACCCCTCCCGGCGTGGGCTGCCCTCGGGGGGCCAAAGCATTCACTGAATGAGTAACGGAGGCCCCCTCTGGGCTCGGCCTGAGATTTGGGGCAAAAAATCAGCTCAATGGCACCGGGGTGGGTCCCCAAGTCCGTTGGCCAGGGGCTGTGCGGGCTCGGGGGGGCCCGGGGGCGTCAGGCCATGCTGCTGGTGGAGCAGGGGGTGCTCTGGGTGCTGCCGATGCTGTGGTTGGTGCTGCTGCTCTCCGAGGCTGGCGCCGTGCTGGAAACCGGCTGCAGTTTGGAGATGGGACCTGGCTCACGCCGCCCGCCACGGGGCCAGGGGGAAACACCAAGGGGAACCACACTCAGGGCGAGTGGTGGCGGCCTTGGCTTGTCCCCACAGGACCTTACAGCCCTCATGCACAAGCCCTGGTGGGTCACTCCCCAGCTGGACCCTGAGCCCCTGGGATGGAGATGAGCATGGGGGACTGTGGTGGCACTGGGAGCTGGAGGGAGGGCAGGTGTCAGAGGGGACCCCAGGGTAGTAGGAGGGACCCCAGGGAGCTGTGGACACCTGGAGCAGGGTTATTCCCCTATGGCATTGCCAGGAGGGCTGTACAGACAAGGGCAGTGGAGCAGCCTGGTCCCTGGCTCACCTGGGGATCTTGACCAGGGGGAAAAATGGGCAACCCAGTAAGGGACATGTATGTGGCTCCCCCATCCCACCACGGGGGTCCCCAGGGGTGGTGGATACTCACGGGTGCGCGAGTAGATGCACCAGAGCCCAGCGGTGAGGAGCGCTCCGATGAGGAAGGCACCAAAGGTGATGCCCAGGACAGCGGCCAGTCCCAGCCCACGGCCTGGGGAGCACAAGGCCGTCAGCACCTTCCCACTCCCATTCTCGCCCTGGCCTCCTTCCCTGCCCCAAAACTCACTGTTGGGCGGCTGCCAGGTATCCTTCACGGTCACCTTCAGGACTTTCTCGAAGTTGGTGTTGTTCTGCAGAGGTGGAGGTTGGGGTGAGAGGCGGGGAGAGACCTGCACACCCTGGGCAAGGGAACAGGGCTGGGAGCTGTCCAGGCTCTTTGAGAACCAGGGCATGCTGCTCCAGGATGGGCTCCATCATCCAACAGTGCGGGACAAACTCACCAGGCTGGGACTGGCGTGGTGGCATTGCAGGTTGGTGGGGGGGGTTACACTGACCTGCAAGCCAGCCTTGCACTTGAGGGTGGCGGAGAAGGGGGTGCGTCCGCCCTCGGGAACGGCGTAGGTGAAGCGGAAGCGCCAGATCTTCCTCCCGTGGCTGCTGGGGGGGCCCTCCAGCACGGCCACCCCTGCTCCACGTGCCTCCCCACCCTGCACCAGCAGCACCGGCTCCTGCCCCGGTGCCACCAGCCAGCAGTCCTTCAGCTGCAGGTCAGCCGGGTGGTCGTCCCACAGCATGGACGCCTGCCATGGGTAGAGGGGAACAGGGGGACGCCATCAGGGTCACCAGCCCGGGGACAGCTGAACTCCCCCAGCCTGGGCACCTGGATGGCAGCAGTACCTGCAGAAAAGCCTCCTTGTTGACCTCCAGCTCCGTCTGCGGCACCTTGAAGGCAGCGGTGGGGAAAAGGCGCAGGAAGAGCTCCCGCGGGATCTCGCACTGGAAGGCCACCTGCAAGTGGGGACAGCGCTGAGGCCACGTCTGGCACCCAGCACACCCAGCACCCAGCCAGCAGTGGCATCAGCACCCTTCTCCCACCTCCAGGCACGCCAGGAAACCTGGCTCTTACCCGTATGTCCTGGAGTTCTGTGCCCTTGGACAGCTTGATGAGGAGCTGTGAGAAGGGTAGGAAGGTTGGGTCAGCCAAGTGGTCCCCACTGCCCGGGTGTATTGTCCCGCTTGGATGGGATGGCATGGCATAGGAGGGTCCTCCCATGGGATGGGATGGAACAGAATGGAGTGGGAGCCCCACCCACACCCCCCTGCCATCTCATGGATGTTTCCAGCCATGCAAAAGCAAGGATGTCCTCGTGGAGAAGCCCCACCAGTCATCATTGAAGCCTTCATGGGGCATCAGCAGGGCTGGGGGCAGCACCCCCAAATGGTCCCTCCTCACCTCATTGTTGGCATATCCCCTGCCCCCCAGCAAGGTGCCACAATGGCTGAGGGGGCTTTTCAACATGAAGTGGGTTGCATTTTTCTCTGCCTGGCAGCTGATGTCCCTCAGCGTGATGTCCTTGATGTCCAAGTCCTTGATGACCTGGGGAAAAAACACATGGTGGTCATCCACTGGCTGGGGACAGCCCCATGCCACCCATCCCAAGCACCTGGAGGAAAATGTGATGTTGGTGGGCATTGGGACCTCGCCCCTCCTTCCCCCTCACCTTCAGGTGGGACTTGATGATGGTGATCTCCATGGTTTCATCTGTGCACGTCCAGGGCTTGAGCAGGAGCAGCAGCTGGTGGGGCTGCAGTTCAGGAGCGGGGGTCAGGCGGCTCATGGGGGTGATCATCTCAGTCACCTTCTTGGCCGTCTCTGCGGGACAGGGAGATGGGGGTGCTGAGAGGGGGTGCTGGGACTCCGCACCCCGCCCAGCCCTGGGGCTCTGGGGGCCTCACTGTTCTCCTGGATCTCCATGCTGATGCTGGTGGTGGCGGGGATGGCGGAGTAGGAGGCGATGATACTGTAGTTCTTCTCGAAGGCTTTAGCGATGAGGCCCTGCTCCGTGTCGGGCAGGAGCTCCCCAGGCAACAGCGTCGGAAAGATGGTCATGATCTTGTAGTTCCCAGAGGTCTGCAGTGGGAAAGGGGACAGCACAGAAGAGCTAAATGGGGATGGGGCATCTTCTGGGTTTGTCCCTGTTAGGAAGGGTTGCAGCAGTGGGGCTGCCATCTCCCCATGTCTAACTTCCCCAGGTACCCTCCTGCCACCCTGCCTGTGCCACTGGCATCTCCTGGGCCCCTGGCAGACCCGTTGATGGGGGTCTTGGGGGAACACATGTCCCAGTCAGCCTACCATGACCTGGATGTTGCACTTCTTGAAGGAGAGAGACCAGGTCAGGTTGGCCCTGCTCTGAAGGATGAGGATCTGGTTGCTGACGTGATTCTCGGGACAGCTGAGGGACAGGTTCACTTCTGTGATCAGGGAGCTGCAAAACCACAAGAGCCCCCTCTCAGCATCAGCATTCCACACCAATGGGCCCCATATCCAACTTAAGATGCAGGGCTCTGCCTTTGAGACACCCCAACGTCTTCCCAAGCATCTCCAAGCATATCCCACCCCTGGGGTCCCATCGTGGGCACTGCGGTACCTGGGCTCTGGTTGCAGATGGATGATGTGAGCGGCCCTGGTGCTCTGGGTGTCCCCACGTGAGCAGCTCTTCACCCCGTGGAAGAAGACCTCAGTCTCAAGGTGCAGCATGGCATTGAAGTGGTTCTGGGGGATGCAGTTCGGGGGGCTGCTGGCGTCTATGCAGATGGGGGGATCGACAGGGCCAAATCAGGCTCAGTGGGTGGGGAGATGCTCAGGGCCATCAGTCCCCGTGGCATCTCCCGGGGAATGGTGCTTTGCCCCAGGAGGTGTCAGCCTTCTGGAACAGGAAGATCACTCCAGCCCCCCAGTGCCAGCCCCCAGCCCCACACACCTTCTCCCAGGCGGAGCTGGACCCAGCGGGGATCCCGCAGCTCGCTGTAGGATGTGATGCCCCTGTAGGTAGACTGAGCCCAGTTCAGCAGTTCCTCCTCGCTGGAGGCCATGAGTGGCTCTGCGGTGCTCCCCGAGAAGAGGTGGGCGTCCTGTGGGCCAAGAGGCAGCCTGAGCCAGGGTGGGGGGCAAGGCTCATCCCTCCCTGGTGTGGGCTGTCATGGGTCAAAAACCTTTCCCCCCCAGAGTGCAGGACGCAAGTGTGAAACTAAACCAGGCGAGCATCCCTGGAGCCTGGGCTGGGGGTCACCCTGGATGAGTGGAGGTTTTCGGGGACATGGGCTGGGAGTGGCAAGAGCAGCCGGCGGCACGCGGAGGGCTCGGCCCACTTTATTATTAGCCACAAACAAAGCAGGAGGTTTATTTTGCTAACAAAGCGCCAGACCCCGGCTCAGCTCGCTGGAGCCAAACCCCATCCCTGACCTTCCTCCCGCCGGTCGGAGGAAACGGGAGCTTTTTCCAGCCCTGTGCGTCATTCCCTGCCTGGCCAGCCCTGTGCTCAGTGCCGGCAGTGGCCAGAAGTGTCCCCTCCTCCCTGGGGCACCACAAGCATCATGTCTGGGGATGGAAGGGATGCAAATCTCCCTTAAATGTCTCCACTGATGGCCCCGGCCCTGCTGCCCCATGGGGTTGCTCCTGGTGTGGGGCTGTGACACTCACGGTGTGGATGAGCAGGTGTGGGCACTGGGAGGTGATGTTGGCAGAGCAGCGGGCGCAGAAGAGGATGAGCACCGGTGAGCGGCTGCAGGCATCGGCTCCTGGCGTGATGGACACTGTCAGCAGGACAGCAGGGGTCTGGGGGGAAGAAGACAGTGTCACCACTGTGGCCACCAAGCCCCAACTGCTGTCACCTCCCTGGCTGCCCCTGGAGCCAGAGGTAGCTGGGAGAGACCTCAGACAGGAGGCAGCCATGGCTGGGTTCAGGGGGTAGGCGGGGGGGATGCAGGGATGCCACATGGATGTGTACCCACACTGGGGGGCAAACACCCCCTGGCTCCCCCAGGCAAGGGACCAGGGTATCCCTGCCTTGAGGATGGTTATATCCCCACGCAGGGTTCCAGGGCATCCTTGAGTCAGAGAATGAGTAATCTCTGCACTGGGCATGAGGGTGTCACCCCACTGCGGACTGGGGTGTCCTCA